AATAATTTAATAATAAACCTCAGAATATATTTTCATTAATTAATAAACTCTTCTGATACAACCAATCCTCCAAAATACAATTCGGGAATCCATACTGTGTGGACCCCTACAAAATCCAAACTAAACAAATAACAGCAATAACTGTCTAAATCAGGAAACTGAATCATAAAGGAATTCCTATGTAGCATCGGAAGAATGAAGTAGACTGATCCCCGCTCAGCACGAACAACCTCTACTCCTGACGAACACCTGAAAAATAATGATGGGTCAGGCCCACAAACAAGTTCTACTCTACTGCAGTCCAAGTAGAGATCCGATACACGTATACATCCTAGTCAATCTAATAATAACTAGTAGTCCGTATATATATATATACACACACACTAGAGGAACCTCACTAGATTATAGAGTTGTCTTAACCTGAATAGTAGGCAACATGCAAAATGCACATATAGTGAGCATGGGTACCTAAACCTACCAGAGTATACAACTACACTATATCTAGTTACACATCCCTAGCGATATACGCGCCTTAACTATTGATCCTGAAACTCAAGCTCATATCATGGCACCATATATATATATATATATATATATATATATATATAATTTAGTAACCATCCTATCTAGTATAAATTAATCCTCAATAAGTCATTCAACTTATTTAGCTGACCTGACTTGAATATAAGTAGGACTTAACATTTTAGTTAATCCATTCCCTTATATAATAAATTAATCATCCATAAGTCATTCAACTTGTTCAGTTGACCTGACTTGAATATAAGTAGGACTTAACATTTTAGTTAATCCATTCCCTTATATAAAATAGGTAGGACTTAACTGATAAGTTAATCCGTCCCTAGAATGTCACCGTCCCATACTGGTGCATTAAACAACACAACCCAATAATTGATGTAACGATTAAGGAAATACATCAAACAATCAAGAAATAACTATGATAATATGATATCAAGTTATCACAAAATATGAATGACTTATTATTTATTTAAGCTTCCTATATCATATGTCCTACACAAACTGAATCTTATACATGATATATTTTATTATACTGTCAAATAAGCATTCTCCATATCTAATTTATCATACACATTTAATCTCAATTGCTAAAACATTTTAAAAGATTAAATACATTCATTTGTTAAAAACATTCAAATAGCAAGCATCATTATGATTGAGTCTATTTAAATTTATTTAAACCCAAACCTAGTTCCTATTTAATGTTCAGGAATTCTAGGCATGTTTCTACGTTCCATCATTACACAGATATGAAAAATACATAATTTAAACATATAAAAATTCACATTGGAAATCAAATCAAAATCATGTATTTATCAATTCGTAACACAAGAACAGATATGAACCAATTTCATAAAACCTATATTCTAATCCAATTAAACATGCATAATTATTTAATTTTATGTGTTTAATAAATCCTGAAATTTCCTAGGCATATACAGAAACACGAATCAAAGGAAAAGAGATAGAAGAAGAACTTGCCTTAAACTTTTGGATCGAAAGTTACACTCTTTCTTCCTTGATCTTCTCTCTATATAGTTTTTCCTCCTCATTTCTTCATTTTCCTCCTTCCTTCTCTAACTCTCTCCCTCTAGAATATATCACGTGAATATTTCTAACCCTCTTTTACAACTTATAACTATATATTTATAGGCTAAATAAAATAACCCTAACCCTTTTCCCAATCCAAGTCAACTTAAAAAAAAAAATAACAATTAAAATATTAAAAAGGTAAGTAAAATATGTTATCAAATTTATGTATATTTTTATTATTTAAATATAAAACATATATATCAGATTAAATATTACTAACCAAGTTACCATAAAAGTAATTAATAAATTATCCATTATTTATTAATGCATTATCCAATAATACTTAACTTACCATAATATTATAAAATAACTTAAAACATAACACGTATCAAATCTATGTATATTTTTATTATTTAAATGTAAAACATATACATCAGATTAAATATTACTACCCAAGTTACCATAAAAGTCATTAATAAATTATCCATTATTTATTAATGGATTATCCAATAATACTTAAGTTACCATAATATCATAAAACAATTTAAAACATAACACGTATCAAATCTATGTATATTTTTATTATTTAAATATAAAACATATACATCAGATTAAATATTACCACACAAGTTACCATAAAAGTAAAATAAAATAAAATAATAAAAGAAAAGAAAACATTTAATTTACAATTAATCAAAACACAATTTAAGCACATAATCTAATTAAACAATTAACACATAGACAAATACAAATAATACATAGACATATAATCAAATAATCAAGTAATATCTAATTCAATTAAACATATAAGCAATTAGTCAAATAATCAATTAAATAATTAAAAATACAATTAAAACAAATAAATAAATAGCGAGACAATTGTAATGACCTTGTGGGCAGGTGTGCCGTAGGCGGGTGCGAGAGACACTGTTATGCTACCACACAGGCGAGCTACTGGTGTACAGTCCCACATCGCTTGGGTAGAGGAAATGTGAAGTGCTTATATGTAAGTGTGTCATCTTCAATTGGTATGAGGCCTTTTGGGGTAAAGCCCAAGAGCAAAACCGTGCGGGCTCAGGCCCAAAGCGAACAATATCATACCATGTAGTGGAGTGGGTTGTTACAAATGGTATCAGAGCCTGACCCAGTCGCAAGTGTGCCGACGAGGACGTCGGGCCTCTAAGAGGGGTGGATTGTGATGACTTTGTGGGGCGGGTGTGCCGTGGGCGGGTGCGAGAGACACTGTCAGGCTACCACACTGGCGAGTTACTGGTGTACAGTCCCACATCGCCTGGGTAGAGGAAAGGTGAAGTGCTTGCCTTTTGAGGTAAAGCACAAAAGCAAAACCGTACGGGCTCAGGCCCAAAGCGAACAATATCATACCATATGGTGGAGTGGGTCATTACACAATATCAGACGTTTCAAACGTGATATGCGCCCAAATTTGAATATCAATATATATATATATATATATATATATATATATATATATATATATAAATAAAAAGCAATATCATAACGCATGCCAAACGGACCCTTATCTTTACTATTGTGTTGGCTTTTGAGAGTTTACCAGACAAATCAGTAAGTTAATAAGTCTATAAACACTTGAAACTGCGTCATTTTTTTTATTAAGGGCAACATGGTCTTTTGAATATTCCGATATCGGAAGGTGAGTTGGTGGGGTAAAATTTAAGAAAAATATAGTTAAGGGGAATTTATTGCATTTTACCCTTATGATTATCATTTCCTTTATATTCCTTTCATTTCATTTATTTTCTTTCATAGCTAGGGTGTTCCTTCACTTATCGAAAATAATATACTAACTTACCCAAAAAAAAAAAAAAAAAGTGCCCAAAAAAAGAAAAAAGTGTTCTCTTCTTTTTTTTTCATTGTACCAAATATAGCATAAGAGCCTTTGGTTTAAGTGATTCTCATGGGCATGGGAGTAATCTTTTTATAGACCGAAAATGGTATCAAGCATAACCATTCTGGTCTATGTCACACAAATCTTTTCAATGAGTGTCACTCTTACATTTCGAGAGTACTTCCATTTTCACACTTAATGCGAGCTTTCACTCCTATTTTCACCATGTATAACTTATTCTGCCCTCAAATTCGCTCTTATTGCTCGTCTTACTCTATGTGACTTAATATTCTGACGGGACGTTTTCAATACGGACGAACCCCATTGGATATAATTGGACTAAAATTTGAGAACTTTAGTATGACCATTAATTAATATGGTAATTAAATAAGATAATGCATGGACCACACAACACATTGCGCCTACAATTCTTACCAATGCCATTGTTATTTTATATATTTTTTATACTTTCAATATTCTGTGGATATGTGCAGAACCTAATCAAATCTGCATGGAGGTTGAAGAATCGAAATCTCCCAAAAAAAATAAAAATAAATAAAAGAACTTTGAAGACTTCTTTTTTTCATCATCATGCATGGTAGATGATACAGCCCTCCAAAGGTGTAGCCTCGGCCATGATTCTATGTTAAATACTCATGGTTTTAAAATGAACCTAATAACCCATGTGGCTGTAGTTTAGTGGTAAGAATTCCACGTTGTGGCCGTGGAGACCTGGGCTCGAATCCCAGCAGCCACATCTAATGTTTTTCTTTTTTACTTTCTCCATCTAATTATTTATAGTAATATAAATATTATTTATTTGCTGAAAGAAAAATGGTTTTTAGCAAGAAATTTATGAATTTTTTTTTTAAAATAAAACACACACACAGAGCCTTGCATTGCCTTCTTAAATTATGCAAATAATATTTACTTACCGAAAAGAAAAATTTGTTAAGGAAAAAAAAAAAAATGAAAGCAGTTGTTTGTCATTAATTCTGTGTAATAATTGTATATTGTGCCACATCAATCTTGCACAGCAAATACAATTTAGCGGTACATCTGAAATGATATGGAAACAATATTGTTGCAAATGAAAATTATGTATGAGAAGTCTTTTTTGCAAAAAAAAATGATGTTTTTCTAAGTTCATTAACTATTCTAATTTCAATAATTTTAAGACTCTAGCTAAAAATCCATCAAATGGAAAATTTTGATTATTATTGAACCCGGCCTAGCTATAGTATATCTCTGAAGCAATCAAAATTAAATAATTTCAATTTAGACAAAAACCCATCATGTTATTTACCCTCATAATTTTGCAATTCCATTCATATATGTTGATGTTGGTACCAATAATATGTCCCAAATTAATGTTTATGGTGTGTCTGCACTCTGCTTCAAATTAGTTCAAAACAAAGGGTCAAATAAATCACAGTTATGAATGACATCCCCCTCAACACACACATACATATAATCTCATATCGATCAGTTAAAAGTTTATGCATATATACACACACAAACTGATGAATAAAAGATATATCTATGCATCCTACAAGATATATACATACACCTTGGCAAGCACTTCTATTAATTCTATTCAATCAAATCGCTAGCCAAAGCATATATATATACGCGCGCGCATATGGATGACTGCACCAGACCAAATATATGCTTGTGACAGTAAGTTTACTGGTGCATCAAGGTGTAACAAGAAAATAGTCAATTAACCCTAATTCCAAAAAAAAAAAAAAAAAATCAAATGCTTCCAGCTTATTATGCTTATATATGAATTATTGTAAAACATTTGGGGTAAGTCTCTCTCTCTCTCTATATAAGGGCAGGACTTATAATACATATCAATGAGATATGGAGAGGTTCTATATATATATATATATATATCCATTAACCCTCACCTTAATTCACTTTACATGAGAGAGAATTTTTGAGGAAGTGTCCTGATGATCATCAGCTAAATTTGTGGAAGGATCATGATCATCAGAAACCAAGTTGACAAGAAAGTCAAAGACATCAGTGGCTACGACAGCAGAGACAACATCTTCTTTGTGAATTGTCCTCCTCTTGCCTTGCACAGTCATCATCCAAGACCTCTTTGTAAGCTCCTCTATGAACAGCTCACAAGCCTTGGAGAACACAATTGGAGCCTCCCCAGATATCATCTTCACATCATCACTTGATTTCTTCATGATCTTCTTTATCCGAGCCAACGGCAGCGAGTGCGGTCCAGTTTTCCCAGATATCCCTCCACACAGAATCCCTGAATATGTACCAGCTTGCCTCATTCTGCGCCTATCTGTCTGTGTTGAGAGACTACTTGAGAGAGAGAAAATATGTATATATCTCTATAGAGAGAGAGAGAGAGAGAGAGCGAGTGTGTGTGTTAAAAGAGAATATTGTGAGAGAAAAGGAAGTGCATGGATTAGTGTAATAAAATGGAGAGAATTTTGAAGTTTTACTTATGACTTATGAGTACAGTGATTATAGTGGAACTCATGAGGAAGTTGATATATATATGCACACCCAAACACAAACACATACATATGTGTGAGGGGAAAAATAGGGTATGGGAAGCCGGCCAGCCTGCTTCAGCCGGCTGACTAGCCAAAATTTCTTTCATATTTTGTAGGTTGTATAGTACCATTCTAAAGTACCATCAAATAGCTACTCGAAACGTAGTTTGTATATATTAATAATTAATTAAATTCAAATCTCTCTCGGGCTAGATCTCTCTCTCAAATATATATAAAGTATGTTATATATATATATACACACACACACACACACACATCATCCTTCATGCATGACATATGACTTCAAGTTATTTGACTAGTCGAATTGATGATCAAAGGAGTTTGAACAGAACCTTTCTATACATGCAGTAAGGGGAGAGAGTAAGAGATATATATAATTTTTGCTTAGCTACTCACCAATAAGTAATACTCATTTCTTGTGTGTTTTAATAATAATTTACTATATTAGTCTTAATAAAAATATAATCAACATCCTCTTATATTTTTTTGGATCAACCATTGAATAAACGTGAGTTATTTTTTTTATTAAAGTTAATGTGATAGATTGTTATTGGAACACACAAGGGGTGTGAGTAGGGTGAAGTTACTCACCAATGAGTAACTAAGCATTATCCTTTAGTTTTTAGGAATTAAATTAGGAGAGGAGGAATTTTCGGATTTTAATTTTGATAAATGTATTTAATAGTATGAATATTTATTTTTAAATTATATGATTAATAAGTTAAGGTATCTGTGATGACCCTGTGGGTGGGTGAGTCATGGGCGGATGTAAGACATTGACAGGCTATCATATTGGCGAGTTAAGGGTGCACAATCTCACATCGCTTAGATAAGAGAAATGTGAAGTGCTTATATGTAGATGTGTCACTCCAATTGGTATGTCTTTTGGGGTAAAATTTAAGAGTAAAATTGTGCGAGCTCAAGTTCAAAGTGAACAATATCAAACCCAGGCCACAAATTTATGGAAGATGGTTGGATCTTCAACCTTTCACAATAAATCTGAGTAGAAAAATCCTGTGAACATTTCTATTTCTCACTCTTCCTAGCAGATGCTGGTGGTTCATTTTGTTATGGTCATTTTTTATTAACATGCGAGCATGTAGTGGCGAGGTCAAGAATTTAATTTAGTGGGACAATTATTAACAATAATATTATAAAAAAATTTGAACTAAAATAATAAATAGCAATATTGAAGGGTTTTTTTTTTTTTTTCTGAATTTTGATTGTTAAAAATTTCCCGAGACCTACGGGAGGAGAAAAGATATGAGATTTTTTAAAAAAATAATTTGAAAATTTTGTTAGACAAATGAGTTAGAAAATGATGATCTTTTGTGAATATTGTATGAGACTATGAGTTCATTGGAGGCACTTTAATAATTAAAATTTGTGTATAGAAAATACAAATAACCGAAACTTTAATAAAAATGGAGGAGTTTTTTTTTCTGAATTTTAATTTTTAAAAAATTTGCACCTGGTGGAGGTGAAAGAAAAGACATTTGTCTTTTCTGGATTTTGAAAATAGTGTAAGACAAATGAGTTAGTAAGAAATTAGTGGTCATTATGAATTAGAAAGAGTTTTTTTTAGAAAAAATTACATATAAATGGAGTCAAAGTTTCATATTTACTTAGAGGCTGAATCAAAGTTCCATATTTCTCTAAAATGGATTGCTGAGGTGGCACATGATTTTTTACTGTTTAGAAATTGTGGTGCCTAAAATACCTTTCCGCGAAGGTATTACTTTTTCTTAAAAGGTACTACTTTTTTGAACTGAAGGTATTACTTTTTGGCGTCCAGGTATCATGTTTTTTAAACACCCGCGAAGGTACTACTTTTTTTCAGAAGGTACTACTTTTTTGAACTGAAGGTACTACTTTTTTCCACTGAAGGTACTACTTTTTTGTTAGGGAAGGGCATTTTAGGCATCACAATTTTTTAAACAGTAAAAAACCATGTGCCACCTCAGCAATCCATTGTAGAGAAATATAAAACTTTGACTCAGTCTCTAAGTAAATATGGAACTTTGACTCCATTTATATGTAATTTTTCCTTTTTTTTAAGGTCTTTTGTAAATATTTAATGAGTTCAGTAGGGACACTTTTATAAGTGTAAAAATTTATGTATAAAAAAATACAAATTGCAGGAAATTGCATGTATAAACTCTGTATCAGCAGATTATATATTTGTATGATATCATTATCCCCAAAGGGCAGCCTACTACTTTTGGCATAACGAACATATGCTAACGGATCAATATTTAATTAAACCTTTTGTTTAGTTAATAATTCATTGATCGTTGAAAGTGTAGTGGCGGTGGTTTCATTTTATAACATATATATGTATATATATAAATATATATATGTATGGTTGGCTTTTCTAAGTCCCAAATACACAACGTGAGCATCACGATTATCAATTAATTAATTGTGTTGTAACATTCATTGTATTCGTGATCTCGATTAATTTCTTGGTAACAAGTGTTCGGTTGAGATCTGGTCTAAGCTTGTTGCAAAAACAATCAGGGTCAAAAGTTTTAAATTTGTTATAAATATTCCAAGCAATACTTAATTCCGCAAGTGACAACTTTCAACAACTATATATATATATATATATTTTTGGGTATTTAATTGAAATTCAATAATTAAAGCACGAGTGTTGGGCCTACAGGGCTCCACTTACGTAGGGCCAAGCAGACAGGCATAGACCATTTCACATTGTCCTTAATTAATAATCATGAAAATTAATCATGGAAAATGAATAAAATTGAACATTCTTCAGTGAATTAAGGACATTAATTATAGCCCAATTAATATTATGGTTGAATAACATTGTTTCAATTTGTCAGTTAATAAAATAATAATCATTAAAATAAAATTAAAGATTGTTCAAGTTTAATATATGAAAAATAATAGTAAAAGTTTTTATCAATATTTGTCACTTATTTACTGATGTGATAATTATTAAGGTAGAAAGTTTAAGGGAGATGAATTTTATTGTCTGTTATAGAATTACTCTTAAATTCTTAATATATTAGTGGGGTCAGGCACTGTACACAGTACATTAAATGGTTATGTTTGGAGTATCTTGCCATACTCGGTCCAAAATTATTCGGGTAAATTATATTATGTCCAATAAGATTTAAAAAATTGATACACAATAAAACGCTTATCACTTTGATCATTCTTTCTTGACATTTAGCATATATGTTCAATGACAACGGCCTCTAGCATATTATTTTCAACAAATCAATTAACCGAATTAATGACAATTTTGCTATTCCTTTATATAAAATGCAATAAAATAATATATTATTATAATATAAGGGTATTATTGACTTTTTGTATTTAAAGATACTCCATCTGTCCCATAATACATGTATTGTATGGGAATTTAATTTTTTTATGGTAGTAGAGTTTTAATAGTTTTTTATTGTATTAATAAGAGTGAAATTTCAATTATGTCCTTATTAAAAAACAAAATAGTGCTATGTAATTAGTGCAATTGTTTTTAGTTAAAAAGATAGTTTGTGAATGTTATTAAAAAAAAAAAAAATAGTGCATTCAATTTTGGAACCGCACATGTTTTTTGGGACGTCTCAAAATAAAAAAATGAACAAGTATTTTGAGACGAAAAGACTATTGGTAAAATGGCAATTTTTCTATTTCTTTATATAAACTGTAATATAATTTATTATTATAGTATAAGGACGTTGGTGAATTTTTCCATTCAAAGTTATAATTCGCTTAAGGAATGACAATTTCCAAGCTAATTTATTCAAATTATTAAGGACAATTTCCAAGCTACCATGAAATGATGGCACGTGATAGCTTGAACTTTTCTGCTGTGTAGCACGTGGGTTTTTTTTGTTTTTTTTTGCAGTGGATATATATATTTTTGCATCTAATTCCTACAATTTTGTTTTCCCTCTTTTTTGCAACAGATTTGTGGTGCTTTTGTGAAGAAGAAGGTGAAACAAATCATGTGATGTTTCTTGTAAAAAGATGACTCCTAACTGTCATCTCTAAAATATACTGTCTACGCATATATGGGGTCGACCACCTTCTGTTGTCTCCTTTGTGTGCACGTTAGGTTGGTTCATGACCCCTCTTTTACCCCCCTTCTTTTTTCTTTTCTTTTTTTTTCTCTTTTTCTTTAATTTTTTCTTCTATGCACAAGTTAATGAAACTTTTTAATTAATATGATATGTTATCATATTGCTTCAAAAGGCTAAAGTGACTGCCAAATAAATCTTCCTCTCTCATGACTAAACGAAATCTAAGAATGTTTTCTTAATTATATTTTAATGTACAATACAGGTCACGATTGAGGAAATAAATTATTATATGATTTTGCGCTAATCAGAAGTAACAAATTAATTAATAAATGTGTCAGTTTTATGTTACTTTCAGTTTTATGTTACTTTCGATTAGCTTTTTTAAAGGGCTATTCTTAATGTCCTTTTTCATAAGGTCATGAAAGAAAATTAGAGAGGCAAAAAAAGACATGTTCACTTAGGGATCCATATGGTACGCGCTTTATTTTTGGTGTTTTGTTTTAACCCAACAAAACAAGTATTTTGTTACAAAGTGTTTTGAATTGTAATGGGAAACAGATTTGGTAATGTTCATTTGGTGCAACATTTTTTAAAGCAAAAACATGAAAATAGTTTTGTTAAAAAAGTTATGCAAGTTTAAAAATTTTAGTGGTTAAATGTCATTTAAGAGTTTTTTTTTAAAAAAAATTAAATATGTCA